TACATAAAGTGGCTAAGCCAAATATATATAGTAATGATATTCTCACTGCTGGGATGGCAACGTGCACCAGACAACATGGCTTGTGCTAGCCAATATGAAAGCAATTTTCTCGGCGTTGTATACCAGGTAGCTAGCAGTCGGACAGTCAGACACTTACTGGGAGCATCCGCGCCCCTACCGGCCACGTAGCGAGCCCCGAATCTTGCTAGATGTCACAAGTTGCAAGCTGTAAACGGGAAAGTTACTCGCTTGAGATAAGCCGAGGTTTGGGGTTACCCCCAACCTCAAAAATGTTACTGATGGGTTGCTTTTATGTCCCTGGCTAGCAGTAAAGTAAGATTACCTAAAGGTCATTACCGTGAAAATCTTACGCAATTCCTTACCTCATTTTATTTGCCACCATGCTGACGTCGCTTTGAAATGGACGAGGAAGTCTTCGACGGCGATATGGTGTATTATCGCTTTTGATGTCAGATTTTCTCGAAGCATTATTTTTGCTTTCTTCATCATCTGCATGAGAGGTAAGAAGACTGGTCTGCGTTAGATCCGATATCTTGCTTGATTTTGGACTAACAAAGTCATCACTATTCAAATCTTTTGGAATTTCGACTTCAGCGAGGGATGGTCTTCTCATTCGCTTTCTAGATGAAGCCTGCGCTTGCTGCATTTGCATTTCCGAAGCAAGGGGATTTGGGCCGGTGAGGGGTTGTGCCGTGTTCAGTCTTTCTCCACCGATACCCTCAGAAGAAGTGGTGGATACATCTACCACTTTGACACGCGATCCGACTCCGACATTTATTTTCTCTCTCCATGCTTTTTTTGCCAACTCTATCTCTGAAAGAGCCTTGAAACCAATTTGCTCTAGTTCCTGTGCGGTTTTCAATAGATCAGCCTCAACGTCAATTTTATACTGGTTAGAAACAAACAGACTTTGATCAAACATGCGATCTCTCGAGCTTGGTGGGGTTACATCTTTGTTTTTCGTTTCTAACTCTTCATTTTGAGAGCTGTTGAGTACACGAAATTCATTCGAGCTATTTATTGGAACTGTACTTGGCTTGCTGCCATTTTCTTCCCCTGTTGGCGACGGCACTAATGTCGGTTCCAACAACACATCCTTGCTTTTCTTTTTTCCCAAATATCGACGACGCCATT